GCTCAAGTTCAGCAAAGTGTAAACCCCACTTGACATTATGAGAATATGAGATAGATTTTACAGGGAACATCAACTTCCTACAACAAGAAATTTCCATGATTAAATCATCGTCAACCGGTCTATGTTTAATGTTTCAATCAATCATAGGGTCCCATGGACCACCAACATATATGTTTGTCCAATAAACTCATGTGATAACACTGGTAGGAAGGTAATGAGATTTATGTCCTGCCCTGTTTAGTAAAATAGTTAGTTTATCAGTCAGTTTGACTTATTTCACTATTAGTAGCAGTTTGACTTGATTATCAATATACGTATTTGATTAATTAGTTTTTTTTTGTAACAACTTATTGCTCCCTTGGTTATCAATATGCGTGTTTGATTAATAGCTTTTTGTAACTGCTGATTGCTCCAAAATGCTAAAATTCAAAAAGCTTCTCAAAACATATGTTTTCATCAGCTTTTTGAGAAAGTTATTTTGCATGTAATCAGCTCTAATAGCTAATTAATTTACCAAACATTTTTCTACAATAAGTTAATACTATCAACTAGTCAAACCAACTAACTTAATCAGCTATTCAGCTAACAACAATTTAGCAAATAACCCGGCAATGTCTTTCGTGCACTTAAAGCATTTTGAAATGCACTGTTAATCATTTCTAAATATACAATCGTAATGATATAGGTAGGAAGGAGATGAAAATCAAGTAGTATATATTTTTGTACACTTAAAATATTTCCAAATGCACCACCTAATTATTTTTACTTTCAGCACTATTAAACATTTCTAAATGCATGAGCATCACTGAAAATTTAAAAAAACGACACCTTTTTAAAAAAAAAAAAAATTATTTTTAAATTGATTTTGAGCCTTTTACAGGACCACCAACAAATATGTTTGTCCAATAAATTGAACTCATAATCTCTTCATCCCTGTGGTTTGCCATTTCTACCATGAAGCTTTTACTGCTCCTATCTGCTCTATCAATGGCATTCCGAAACCTCGTACTCCTCTCCTGACTTTGTCGTACGACGTTTTGTCGGTTTTCGACAGAGAAATGTACGTCGGCTTCTCTGCAGCCACGGGGCCGGAGCTGACCTCAAACTTTTACGTTCTGGGTTGGAGCTTTTCCTCCACCGGAACAGCGCCGGAGCTCGATGTTTCTCAGCTTCCTAAGGTTCCACGATTAGGGAGGAAAAAGAAACCAGCTTTCTTGACTTCTGGTTTGCCAATAATCTGCGTGGTTTTAGTAGTGATACTAGGTTTAGCTGTGGTTAAAGTAGTACAAAGAAAGAGGAAGTTTGAGGATGTTCTTGAAGATTGGGAACATGTTTATGGCTCTCATAGGTTCAAGTACAAGGATTTGTACTTGGCCACCAAGGGTTTCAAGAAAGGAAAATCTTGGGGATTGGAGTTCTTGGGATAGTCTATAGAGGTCTATTGCCTGAAACTCAACTACAGGTAACATTTTCTTCAAAAACCTGTGAGAGTTTAATTTAATAATTCATGTTTAAAACAACTGACTATATATGCTATCTATAATAAATAACACAATCAACACTTCTTTAACTGATCGATTTACATTTTCTTAAAAGATCAATGAGTTCAACAAAATATTTTCAATCCCGTTCAAAATAGTTAAAACAACTAATACAATTTGCTGTTGGCCATAGATAACACGGCCAAAACCATTAAAATCAGCTAAAACCATCCACCAATCTGCTATCTATCTGTCATGAATAACACGACTCGAACAGTTGAGAACTGTTGGGTTGAGCTTTCCTCTTATGTGGTAAATAGCTCATATTTGAACCAAGTCAATTTTATCCACTATTTTTTAGACATGATTATTAATAATAATAATAATAATAATAATAATAACAATAGTTGGGGATATAAGGAGTTGGGGAAGTAGAAGTGTTAAGCATGTGAAGAGTTGAAGAAATTTATTCCCATTTAATCTTCATTATTTCCATGTTCAAGTATTGAGATTATAAAAGAAGCTTCTTCATTATTCTCCAAGCATTCACATATACATATGAGAGATTGATTCGGCAGTAAGGTTAAGAGAAGGGAAAAACTATTCTCCCTTCATTCTTTTCATTTGGCAGTGCGAGGAACTTGCCGTGAGTTTGCCGAACTTGTTGGGTACAATCTTCATCAAATGTTTTGAAGGTCAGCTTGCATTTATTCCCGGCATCTTTTGGGTAATCTCGTATTACTTATATTCATGTTATCTTGTTCGTGGTAGTTGAATATTTTTGAGTACGTACGAGATATTATTCCTAATATTTAGCCTGTGAATTTTAAAGGATGTATTTGGCCTAGAATTGGTGTATTTGATGATTTGTGGATGTATGGCTCGTGTGGTAGCTTGAACCTGTGTACCAAAGATTTGTTATAGTGGAATTGTTGGTGGTGGTGGTCTCGTGGTTTTGGGGTTTTCACGTAAATCTTGTGTTCCTTGTTTTGTTATTTATTTTTGGATATTGTGTATCATCTTGTGTTTGTGCTCCTCTCGGTTCTATGATTTTTCATTGTCACAGGAAGTGTGATTTTTCCCAACAAAAACAGCTAATACAATTTGATATTAGCCATAGTTAACACGACCAAAATCATTAAAATCAGCTGTCACGACCAATTTGCTATCTATTGGTCATGAATAACGCGACCAAAACAGTTAAAATCAGTTAACACAATCTGCTATTAGTCATGGATAACCCGACCAACACTTGTTTGAATGAATTATTATCTTGTTTGTTTCTTTAATTTGCAGGTGGCAATCAAGAGGGTGTACTATGAATCAAGAGAAGGGGTACAAGAATTTGTGTCGGAAGCGGTTACCGGAATTTAGTCCCGTTTCTGGGCTACTGCTGGCAAAAATCGGAGTTGTTTCTGGTGTACGAGTACATGCCAAACGGAAGCCTCAAGGAGTTCTTGTACCAGAAACCAAACAACTCTCTGAATTGGGCCCAGAGATTCGCGGTGATCAACGGGATAGCGGCGGCGCTGCTGTATCTACATGAAGAATGGGATCAAGTCACGATTCCCAGAGAAATAAACACCGGCAACATCTTTCTGGATGGCGAATTGTGGATTGGGTGTTTTCCAGGTGGATTAAAGGCGATATTGTGCAGGCAATGGATCCGAATTTGGGGAATGGGTTTGCGAAATCGGAGGTGGAGATGGTGTTGAAGCTTGGGTTGCTGTGTACTCACTCCGAGTCGAGGGCACGGCCGAGCATGCGGCGGGTGGTTCAGTATTTGGGCGGTGGTTTGGAGCTGCCGGAGTTATCGTCCACCAACTTCCGGATAATGGTTTAGATATATTGTAATCCGCTAATGTTATCAACTAGTTAACACAATCAATTAGTTAATGTTATCAACTAGTTATATTCAATTACACCCTCTAATTAACTCAATTAGCTAGCTATCATTTACCAAAAAAGGGCTAATAACAGTCGTTATATCGCGTCAAACGGCGCCGTTTCTATAGTTATAACGGAGTGACCCTATAGTGTGTCTAAACCAACACTGTCTCACGTATTATTTTTATATTATCAAATGAAACTGCAGTTATATCAAAATGATACTGTAGTTATGGTGAAATGAAACTACAGTATGTATAAAATGAAACTGAATAACATTTCACATATTTGAGTGTATATTGTACAATGAAGCTGTAATTATATTGAAATGATCATGTAGTTGTGTGTTAATGAAACTATAGTGTATATAAAATAAAATTAAATAACATTTTCACATATTTGAGTGTATAAATATTGAATGAAACTATAGTTATATCAAAGTGAAACTGTAGTTGTGTTGAAATGAAACTGCAGTATATACAAAATGAAACTGAAGAATAGAGTTATTTTTTGCAAAAATTTTATTTCTTTTCATTAAACAAAACGACGTCGTTTTGATGCGTGGTGCATGATCGATCATGCACCGCGGTGCACGATATAATTTGCGTGCTAATAATACTTGGGCCAAATAGGGTCAATTATACTTGGGAGTTGGGATATGTTAATTGAATTCTCACTTTACATGGAATGATTTACATTCAATATAATGGGCAAATTATGTTGTGCATTCGTGTGCACCATGCATGGTGTACACGGATGCAAAAACAACGTCATTTTAACTAAAAATGCATGTTCAATTTAAAAAAAAATATTCAGTTTCGATTCCTGTCAACAACATTATGTTGTGCATAATTTCTAAATGTATAGTTATGAAATTATGGGTGTATAGTTAGCAATTCTGGATTTATAGTTATGAAATTATGGATGTGTAGTTATGCAATTCTGAATGTATAGTTATAAAGTTATGCAATTCTGGATTTATAGTTATGAAGTTATGGATATGTAGTTATGCAATTCTGGATGTATTGTAATGAAGTTATGGATGTGTAAATATGCAATTCTGGATGTGTAGTTATGCAATTCTAGATGTATTGTAATGAAGTTATGGATGTGTAAATATGCAATTCTGGATGTGTAGTTATGCAATTTTGGATGTATAGTTATGCAATTCTGAATGTATAGCTATGAAATTATAAATGTGTAGTTATGCAATTCTGAATTTATTTATTTTTTAACGTCGACGCCAAAACGACGTCGTTTTTTTATGGTGCACACGGATGCACAACATAACAACTCAATATAATGCGTATAAAATTTTTACATTTCTATAATACTAAATTACTAATGGTATAGACCAGGACTATGTGGTCTAATGGTACCCGAGTTGGACTTCCATTTGGAAGGTTGTGAGTTCGAGCCTCACTATGAACAGATACTACAATCTAATAGAGCTAGTAGCATTCAAAAAAAAAAATGGTATATCTTCTATCTTCTATTATAATATAGCAGAATCTATAGTTCCCGCCAAAACTATATATATATAGTACTTAATTGAATTAAATTGGGAAGAATATAGAATTAAATTCTTCAATGCTGTGTCTGTTCAGAATCCAAGTCTGTTTAGAATTCAAATACATAAAAATATTAGAGGATATATTTAATTTAAAAGAATAAATAAGGATGCAACTTTTCAGATTATACAAATACAAATCAATAAAAAATTAAATACATTGTTGATACACAATTAAATTCATCAATGTCGTGTCTGTTCAGAATCCACGTCTGTTCAGAATTCAAATACATAAAAATATTAGAGGTATATTTAAAAGAACAAATAAGGATGCAACTTTTCAGATTACTAACGTAAATATCCAAGGATTTGATTCCTCAACAATTCTATAAATAATGAATTACACAGGCCTATGCATTCAACCACACGTTGCTGAACAACAAGTCCCTTCCAAGAATATCTCTCATCTCTCATACATTATGTATTCCATGTATATTCTTGGAAGTGATATTTACACTTCAATGTTAGGAGTCCAATGGATCAGATCCAAGCAGATCGTATTTCATGACGAGGAGGTAAGCTTTATGAATAAATAAATATTTCAATACTATTTTATCATTACTTACTACTGATTTCTAATATACATAGTACTGATTACTGGATTTTGGCCTATATCTATATTACTTCTTTCTAAGTCTAAAAAGGATAGCAACACTGTAATGTTAAAAGATTTATAGAGGCTTACCTCAGAAACCAGGGAGAAGTTCTGAACCTGCAAAGTAATAGGAAGCCATCAAAATCAATGGAAAAATTTGATAATGTGATAGGAACTTATTTCAAATATACATAGTACTGATTTCTAATGAAACTTGATTTTTGATATCATGACCTTCTGTGCTTCAACTGTTTATGACAATTGTTGATTGACTTCAAGGGATCTTGAGGTGTTTCTACCACAGCACTATGTATATTTTTATTCAACTTTATTTGCAAAAGAAAATTCATCAATAAATGATAAGTTAAACAGAATTAAAACACAACTATAAACAACTAACTTTTTGCAGGAAAACTCATAGAGGATGTACATTATGAATAATCTTCAGTATTTGCAAGTTTTCAAGAATTGCTAACACTTATTGGGAAAAGGACATAAAAATCTATTTTATTTAGGCTCATGCTTAAAATTAATTAAATCAAATTGGCAGAAATGATTTATTTTCAAAATTTGATAACAATTATTTGAATACTTTGCAATAAATAGCACACATAAAACTCTTAGTATTCTAAGATGCATAATAAAGATCAATCTTTTACTTTGCACTGAACCAGTTTTAAAGAAACCCATGACCTTCCTCTCTAAATCTGAAATTATAAAAGAGACTTCATACATCATCAGAAAACATTTTCAGAACCATCTCTCCAGACATATAGTCAGTATTTTCATACTCAAGACAACATGAGGAAAATTACATGCATCTTCAATCACTATTGGGTCTAAGAGGAAGCATCTGGACCAAAACAAAGGTAAATCTATCTACTATTCTGATTATTACACCACTGATGTTTTAAAAATCTTATGTATGACTGAAAACTACCACAGGAGAGAGTAAATCTTAGTACACACTTAGGCAGACCTTTGCAAACATAGTCAGAAAATAAATCACATAACCATGAACCAATATAGTTTTGTGTCTAGCATGTATCAAGCTTTACGGTCAACCTATGAATATATACAAACATGAACCTGAACAAAAAATCTGGAAAAGATTGAAATCTGTTCTAAATCTAAAGAATGAAAAAACTCATCTTTGTAGCAAATTGCCGTTTACTTTTTCTGCATCCCAACATGTGCCTGAAAAATATTAACATAATATTAAACTTAATTGTTAAATAGAAAGTCTGCATATAAAAAAATACTAATAACAACAAAATGAAAGAATTTTGCTTCAAATCTGGTTTTAGAACTACGAATCCACCAAATAGATTACAAGATAATGGGGATAAAAATACAAAATTTGTTGTCAAAATCGTCATGCATGTGATTTCGATTGAAGGATTTCATCAGATCTACACTTAACCATCGACTTAGTAGGTAAACAAACCCTTCACAGTTAGGGTTCACTGTATCTATTCAATTTCTTAAAAATTGTATAATAGAATTGGAATTAAGTGAGAGATATACTAGATAACTTAACGGAATCGAGAACTTAACTAAGAAATTGAAGTACAATGTACAGATATAAAATTGAAGTAGTTAACTAAGACAAAGTAGGCCATACGAACAGTGTTAGGATCATCTCACCAACCACCGGCGTCTGGATTTAGTGTTGAACCACCGGCGTAGCGAAGAAGAATGGGACTGAACATTCTGAAATGGAATGCGTGGGGAGAGAAAATAGCAGAGTTGAGGACAAGGGGCGGTTAGGGTAGAGAAGTAATATTGCCCAAATTCGAATAAAATTGATTATTAAATTTAGTAATATTATTAAATTTGATTATTTATATTAATATAATAAATAATTTGTTAGTTTATATTATTATATTAGTGTTAAGGGAAGGTGGGGCAATTTATATCATGCACTCGTGTGCGCATTGCATTGTCCGCCTTGATGCAAAACGACATCGTTTTCGTTTTAGATTTTTTTTTTAAATTTCGCTACCCTATGTTGGCAGTTAATTTTTCTTTAAAAAAATTCTCATGTTAAAAAATGTACATAATTTTATATTAGAATACACATAGTTGTATATAAACAAATACACATAGTTGTATAAACAAATACACATAATTGTATAAAAAATACACATAATTGTATACATAAATACACATATTGTATAAACAAATACACATAATCACGTCAACTTCGTACGACGTCGTTTTGGGAGGCACGGGGTGCACAGTGCTCTGTGCCCGTGGTGCAGAGTATAACGATTGGGAAGGAGGTGGTCATCGGACGGTTGAAACGGAAAGCGAGGTGGTCGTCGAACGGTTGAAACGGAAAGTGCAGAGACGAAGGTCATAGAGTGATGCTTTTGGAAATGAATTATTTGGTTGAAGAGTGAAGACAGAGATGGGGATGAATGATATTATTATTATTATTATTAGTAATTTGTAATAATAATAAAATTATTTGACTCAGTTTTGTGTTAAAAATGTGTTAGAGCAACCACATCAATCCATAATATGGAGATAATGTAAGTTGAATTCTCTCATGTTGAAGATAATAACAAATGTGGAGAAGGAAGAATGCAAAAATAATTCTCCTGCAAAGGAGGGGAGAATGGAAGAAGAAGAAAAAAAAAAAAAAAAAAAAAAAAGCAATCATGGGAGGGTATTTCATCTATTTTTTTTTTTATATTTTAACTTTTTTTGTTTTGTTTTTTCTTTTTTCTCTCTCCCCTCTCACTTTCTCTTTCCTAATCACTCTTACATTATCCTCCAAATCTCCCCAACTAATGTGGATGCTCTTAGTAATGTCAGTTGAGATCAGAGCTGTTGGTATTAATATACTTTATTATTATTATTATTATAATACATTTTGTAATATATATTAATTTTGTAATTATTTGATTTTATGTAACCCTTTAATATTAAGTATATTAGTTGTCCTTAGTTAAGGTATTTAAATGTCTTTTGTTCCAAACAATTACAATTTAATTATCTAATGATTTATTTACTATATTATGAAAACAATGATTATAATATGTATCTGTGCATCGCACGGGACAATACTAGTAGAGTATAATTAAATATGTTAGTATGTTTCCAAGTCGTGTCACTTTAAAACTTTTGTATGCACTTCAGGTTTCCGTCACCGGAAAGAAAGTGTAAACGCGAAAATTTAAATTGTATAAATTAAATTTAAAGGGTATTAATTGCAAATAGTATGTATCAAATAGGAAGGATACCCTTTGTAATTTAATATATAATGGTGAGTGTGTAGGAGAAATCTAACAAACTCCCATTATTTAGATAATTCTCAAATTTAATTTAATTTAATTATTTGAATTAAATATGAGAAATGTATCGGGACACCATCACGTCTATGTTTATGATTCCATCCAATTTTAAACAATATCCAATTATTCAAAATTCTTCCAAATTATATAATCCACTTATAATTCAATCTTTATACCCTGCACCACGGTGCACACAGCACCATGCGTCCCGCGCCTCTCAAAACGATGTCGTTTTGATAAGTTGTGTGGCGAGTTGACGTGACAGAGTGTATGTGTATTATGTTATATAATTATGTACATTCTGGTATACAATTATGTACATTTTTTATATGATTATGTACACTCGAACACACGATTTTTTTTAACAGTTAAAAGTTTATGTACATTCTCATATACAATTATGTACATTTTCAAAACATGATTTTTTTAACAAGTAAACAGCAAACACGGAAAAGCTAAATTTTCAAAAAAAAATGTAAAATGACGTCGTTTTGCACCAGGGCGCACAATGCAATGCGCACCCTGGTGCACGATATAAATTGCCCTTTTAATTTTGATTGGCCAAACCAAGTTAGAACTCGTCAATTATGCAGCCTAATTAATCCAAATAGTATGGTCCAGCTCTATTAAATATTCTTTCAAATTGGACTAGCAATTTAGTAGAAGTCTTATTTAAGTAATTAGACCAATTAGTTATGGCAAATTATTTTGTGGACCTAGGTGCACCTTACAAGGTGAACCTGAATTCAAAATACAAAATTTATATATTAAATTTAGAGTTAATACCCAAAATGGTCCTCCGACTATTAGCTAATACTCAATTTTGTCTCAAAGTATTAAATATACTCAATTTAGTCCTCTAACTTTTAAAATGGTACCCAAAATGATCCTCCGTTACAATTTCCATCTATCTGCCGTTATTTTGAGGGGCAAAAATGTCCTTTTATTAGGATGTTGTGTTCCACGTCCGGTGACAGTAGCCAGAATAACCATGTTAGTGCCGACGACGTCGTTTGATTCTTGATAATATGACCTCATCGGCAAACTTGTGTAGATCTGAATTGATTTTTGCAATTTTCGCTCTGATCCCTTGTTGAGGAATTTCTTGATTATGTAAAAAAAAAAAAAAAAAATGGCAACGCGTACATGAATCTGCCGGAGCTCAGAGTCGCCGCATCCTCGAAAGGATGAGTTCATTGTCGCTATCGTTAAGGAAGGATCGTGGAACATGGTACCATATCTGTGTTGGTTTGCCACAATTGAAGACGCATTTATTGTTGTCGTATGATCCTCTATAATCACAAGGGTCCGAGGAGCAACCTTCCTCCGCTAAAAAGCTCGTACAGTAACGACTTAAGTTGTTGCCATTCACCCACGCAAACCCCTTGCCTAAACAAACCAAGTCTACCACAACAACTGGATCTTTTCCCAGCCATGTCGAATAATGAACCATAGTTCTAAAGACCAGCATCAACACTCAAAATCAAGATTTGGTTCTTTCCATGTTTGAATTTCACTTTGGTCTCGAAGACAGACTTGGGAATCCCATAAGTGGTCCAATTGGAACCAATGAAGTCCTCATTCACATAAAGGTGCAATGGAGGACCACTGTTGTTAATCCTAATGCTCATATCATTGCTCCAAATTGGATCATCCTTGTCTAGGTTCACACTGCCTTCAACAAAGTTCAGCAATAATTTATAGTCAACTCCTTGGTAGTTGATGGTCATGATGCCGTGGACCTTGCCAGGGCAGGCGGCGAGGACGTCGGTGGACCAATCCAGAAAGAGGCGGCGGTTCTTGATGAATCCCGGTAATGCTCCGACTAAGGGTATAATTTGAAGCCTGGTTTAGTGGGTTTTTGGTGTATTGCAGCGAGGAAGGAGATGAGTGAAAGGAAGGAGAGAAAGAACTGTTTCATGTCCAAGAAAGCTGTGCGGCTGAGAATGGATACAGGATAAACGGGTTTGGAGCAAATAAAATGACTTCTTTGCCCTCAAAATAACGGTGGATTGATGACAATTGTAACGGAGGACTTAATTGGGTTTGATTTAAAAAGTGAGAGGACTAAATTGAATACGATTAATACTTTAGGACAAAATTGAGTATTAGCTAATAGTCGGAGGACCATTTTGGGTATTAACTCTTAAATTTACAATTTACATACGACTCGAGTTCATGGTATAACACTATAACTGTTGATTAATTATTTATTGGGTCATTTAATCAACCCAATTAAATAAATATTAGCCCAATTTAATGAAAATTAAAGTAATCAATTATCAATCAAAGTCTAACATCACGCAAATCACAGCCCATTTAAATTTTCAATGCTTTAACTCTGTGTGCTGCTTTCAAATAAAATTGGAATATTTTGCACTTTTAGTCCCACGACTATAGTGGCACTGGCAGAATTGATCCACGACTTTTGAACCTTGCAATTTTAGTTCACGACTATTGATTTTATTGCAAAAATGGTCCTTCCGGCCACTTTTCCGTCAAAATTTCACCGGAAAAAAAATCTCTATTTTTATCCGGGTTAAAATTGACATTTTACTTATCTCAAAAAATTAAAAGAAAAAAATTGATATTTGACTACATACAATATTACTGAGTTACATACTACTGCCCCAGGTGGCGGAGTACATGTACCACTCCAATGCTGCTGCCGGATAACCCAACTAGCCCGGGGAACGCCACGGACGCTCCGCCGCTTACTGACAGCCCTGCCTGCTCCAGGAACTCCGCCGCCTGGGGCAGTAGTATGTAGCCCAGTAATATTGCATGTAGTCAAATATCAATTTTTTTCTTTTAATTTTTTGAGATAAGTAAAATGTCAATTTTAACCCGGCTAAAAATGGAAAAAAAAAAATTTCTGGTGAAATTTTGACGGAAAAGTGGACGGAAGGACTATTTTTACAAAAAATTAATAGTCGTGAACTAAAATTATAAGGTTCAAAAGTCGTGAATCAATTCTACCAGTGTCACTATAGTCGTGGAACTAAAAGTGCAAAAAACTCAATAAAATTGTGTATTTTTGAATCTAGGTCTTCAGAATCATTTGACTGCTAACAGAGAGAATCTTGTTTTGAAGGAGGAGGAGAGAGTCCATAAAACTGAACCTTCCTGATGTACCGGAGCTCTGCCTCAGATTCTCTTTTAACGGCCGTAAAATCGACGTTACGGAAAAGAACTTCACTCTTCTCCAATAATTCACCTACCAGCGGAGGTGGTTGGCGGGTTGTTGAAGACAATTTTAGCCATCAGCAGCAGCAGCAGCGCCACTGTTCCTCAGCAGGTGAAAATTCCCATTTCAATCGCTCTAATCTTTTTGTTTTCTTTAGATTTTGCTCAAAATTTAAGTAGTATCTGTGGGTCAAGCTTGCAATTTCCTATTTTCTTGATTTTATGGGCCAAGATTGAGTTTTTATGGGATTT